TGTATTTTTTTAAATAAATAAGAGAGAAAATAAAGGGCCTTAAGCTCATGCTGTAGTAAATTATTAATTTACGAAGATTATTTTACCTTAACTGTCTTATAGCCTGATACAGTCAAGAACATTTTTCACTGGTGGAATCTGCATTCAATCAATGCTTTTGCAAAGATAAGGTAACCAATATAATTTGATTAGAATTAAATTTACTTGAAACAGGTTCTTTCTATTAGGAAACTATACTTTCTAGTGTATGAAGTGGAACTTTGCTGTAATGATATTATCCATGCAAAGGTTGCTTTTCTCTCAATATTTTCTATGAATAGTTACTATTTCTTTAATTGCAGACACTTTATTACTTTTTTCCTTCTTTTTTTTTTTTTGATCAAACTGTATGTATTTTTAATTTACTCCACTACTGCATTACTACACCAAATACATGAAATACCATTCCAAATTTACACACAGACATAAGACTTCATTAATGCTTTCCATTCAGAAAATTATAATTTTTTCAACTTTTGCTAGTGAACTGCTGTTCTTTGGCATGACCAAGGCAGCATGGATAGATATCTTTCCTCTCCTACAGTTTGATTCCTAGGCCAGGTATGGACTGATTGAGCAACACAGAAGTCCAGCACTGATGAAAATTATTACCTTCCCCTCACTTCTACCAGGCAGATATACTTTGTGCCAGAGTAATTCTCTTTTGCTCTTTCAGGCACACTGAAAGAGCAGAAGAGGGTGCAAAGGGGCCTAAGCAAAAGACTGGATATTCAGTCTTTGATATTCACAGTGAAAGAATTTTGAAAGGCAAAACCTTGTTAAGAAATGCAGCAAAGGCATGATTCAACTGTTTTCACAAGCCATACTACCTCACATCAAAGGCAGTCTGGTCTTTTGAGGTTGGCTTGTCAAACTGAATTTAAAAATGGCTTTTCTGATTAGTTATCAAAGGTTTGTAATGATAGCACTGGGATAAATGCTTTTGATCCAGGCAGTCATGATTTCTCCTAATGTTTTCTACTTTGAAACCTCCACTGCAGTTTCTAGCTATTTTATACGTGTATATGTATATATACACACGCACGCACACAGACACACATATACACACAAACATTTATGAATCTCTATCCATCTTAATACAAAAAGAAGTGACCAAACCCTGAAAAGAGAAATTTCCAGCTCAGAGATGACTGAGTTTGGTCTAAATTCATATCTATGCACAGAGTCTGAATAAGCTGAAATGTAGACCATTGGGAAATAGAAATCTATAACATCTCCACAGGCAAAACTTTCGCTGTGATCAGTGGAGATAAAAGTACTCACTACTGGATACTTTCTTTTCCTTGTCGATCTTCCCTTCTAAACAATGATAATTATAATAGAACACCCACCAGTTTTGATGGGATACACAGAGTTGCAATTCAGTTAACAGAATATTCCCAACTCAAAAATGAATTAAAATATGAGTATTACATGACTGTGATTATGCTTATTTCTCAAGCTTTCTTTTTAATTGTACAATGTTGAAAATAAAATTCTTACAATATTGTAGCTACTCAAAAGCTATTAAGAGATATGACATCTACAAGAAGCCTATAGACACCAGTAATCTGGGAGAAAAAATGAGCTATGTGTTTGATGCTAAGTTAGACTTTTGGGGATAGTGTATATACTATCCCTATGGTAGTTGTATAGTAAAAGAGCAGCTGGAAGTAGTACAAAGCATTTAGGTAAGGTAAAATTACTAGATAATATTGTAAATTAACAACGTGAAATTAACAAACAAAGCAAAATTTGAGGAACTTGCATTTCATAAATTCAGACTCACTGGATTATCTTTCATCTCTGAATTCTGAAAGAATTTGCACATGAAAATGAAAGTCTACTTACTAGTATTTTCAACAAATCATTCACACCTGGTAACTGAAGTAATAGAACTGAATATAGTTAAAAGGCATAAAAGTAGCCCTTGCAATTTCAGGGCTGATATCTGATCTCAATAATGCCAGGTTTTCAGGCTTTTTTAGAGAAATACATTATACTCTTCCCTATAGAAAATTTTACTATAAACTGTTACAAGAAAGACAAAGCTGCAGAAATGGATTCATTCTGAGTCATCTAATAAATAGGACCCTAACCACTAAGAAGGAAGTAAGACTAGCAAATATCTTTGGATATAAGTATTGCAAAAGTTTCAATTAGCTGTACAGTATCCTGAATATTCAGCACAGGTTGCAGAGTTGTTCTGAAGTAATTTTGGACCTTTGTCACTATGGATTAGGAAACTTGGCTGAAGAGTAGAAGCAATTCCTGACTCAAGTGTTCAGGCTCAGCCCCAACCAGAGCTTTAAAACAATTACTTGATTTCTAACTTTTATTTGTCTGAATTAGACTTTTGTGAAATAAAATTTTATTGTTAGTCTTATGAACTATTCCTGGCTGAGATATAAACACAATCAAACTTTAAATAATAATTCCAAAATCTGATTTTGGAAATTAATTTTGCTTTGTTCTGAATAGCACAGAGCGTTTTAACAAAATCTAAGTGGTCTCAATCATTGGCTGAAATTTTTATCAGTTACTTATGAACAACATTTGCTGTCTATGCCTTTAGCTATATTTTACTAGCTGTCTTAATTGAAATGAAGGAATGAAAAAATGTGCTTCACTTTCAATGTGGAAATATCAGCTTACAGATTTATTTCAGTTGAAAGACAATGGAATAGATGAGAACTTTTCATGCCAGAAGTAATAAAGAAAGTGGTAGGTATTTAGACTAGGGTCACACATGATTATTCACACTGAACTCTGCAGAAGAGTTGGTACTTTGCGTTTTTAAAATTTGTGAAGTGTTTAGGTGTCCAAATATTTACTTAGAAAGCTATTTGGAAATCTCAGGCTTGATAACCATGGTATTCATATTTAGGAATCAATTCACTTATCTACATGTAATTGTCTACTGCCATTTGAATTGCTTCAGGATAGCCTACTAGACCTCCAGCAATTGTGCATGTTTTTCCTGTGTAGTCTTTGTCTTATCTGCCAGCCTGCAGGGAATGTCACCATACCCTAGATGTCATAAATAAGATTTGATGACTGTCTCTGGGCAGCTGAACCAAGTCCCATCTTTGAAAATAAAGATAACATGCTTGCAGACACTTACATGTAAATACTTATATTTACATTTATATTAATGTAAATGTATTTGGATCACATGTTTAAATTTTTTTAGTGCTGTTCTGAAATTCTTATTCTCTGCTGAAGAAAAAAATTATTGTGGCTGGTCTCTAGGCTCAGCTGACTACCCTGAGCATAACAGCAGTTTAGACACTGTAGACACCCACAGGTTAACATTTACATGTAGAAGTCTTAATCTCGATTTGGATCTCACCTGTAGATATCTGATAATCACATAGAAAGGTAAATGTCTTAGGGCTGGATCCACAGGAATAGCTGCCAAAAAAGTATATTTTCATTAACATCTCTCTTAGAGGAGTATGGATTCTCCTGGCTACTTTAGTCAGAACACAAGTACGTCTGTCAGGCAGTACCAAAAACGCTCTATGGCTTCAGTGACATATTTACTAGTAGTACGGTACTTCCTTATTCATCAGCATCCATGCCAAGGAAACATAATGGTAAATGCACATTTAAGTAGCTCTGAATTCATGGAGCACTTAGGACAGTAAAAGCTTCCAAATGAATAATTGCTTCACACAGACAGCTCTTGCATCCTAAATTGCTCAGTGGATGGACTTTAAAACAGCCTGTGTTTCTATTAGTTAATCTCTAGGCACTGTAGAAAAGGCAACAGACTGCAAAAGGATTCATATAAGAAATGAATGCAGCATGGTAATACTGGGAAATAACAATCAGAACTGTTTCCTCCTGGGAACCATTATAGAGGGAAGGAAGGAAACAAGTTTCTTGACTGCAGATAGTTACAAACACAACATATGTTTTATTAAACCACATTTTTGCCATTTTGAATTTAAAATATTTTCAGAAGTTTTCCATGACTTCCCTACAGAACTCAATCCTCATAATATATTCTGATGAAGAAAATCAGCATACAGTTCCTGGGGGTATCATTTTCTTGCTGAGTAGACATGTTAATGTTAGTGTGGGCAAGACTTGTTTTCAGTGTAACCAAAGTCCTTGAAATGGACATAGTACTTTTTAAAAGTCCATATTTAAAACATAATGTGATATTCTTTTCTGCAATACACTGCATATGTGATCTCTACTATGTTGTAAGTGTAAAATTCATTCTGAACATGAGTGTCCCATTGATAGTTTTGTATTTGGAATAGGCTGAATACTGGATCAAAGACTGACTACAGCTTTCCATATGGTTTGTACTTTATTATACAGAGCTTATGCAGCATTTTTTTTCTTTTTCTTTTTTTTTTTTTTTTCCCCCCCAAGAAGGGAGAATTAAAAGCTTGTGAATCTATTCAGTATTAAAGAATTATAAAAGATAGAATATTAACATACAGGACAGGAGTTGTCAAGCTAATTCCCACTCCTTTGATGCATGATAAAAACACAGAGAAACTATAATAAATGGATTGCATATTTCTTGTTTGTCTGAATTATCAAGTATAAGTTAGCACTTCCACCTCACAGATGATGAGCAGTTAGGCAGCAACCCTGCTTACATCATTTATAAATTATAGAGACAAATCTGCATGTCACTTATGACACTTATGGCAGTGTATGCTGTAATCTAAGAATGAAAATATCCATTTACCATAAAGAAAATATCTTCCTTTGTATTCAGATTGGCAAAGCACTAAGTAGTATGTGAATTTGGTAATAATATTAAAATCATCTATGTTTGCTGACCATATGAAATTTGTATGATTTTGAGCAATTATATTTTTTTTCTTTTTCCTGTTTGCTGATGTCAGATAAAAACCCAGATGCTCCTTGCTTTTATTCCTACAGTTCTGAGCTCTTGGTTTTTTTAACATTTTTATTCATGTGGACTTTCTTAGGTTATATTCAGTTGGAGGTCGGGATGGAAGTTCATGTTTGAGTTCAATGGAATATTATGATCCTCACACAAATAAATGGAATATGTGTGCTCCTATGTGTAAGAGAAGAGGAGGTGTAGGAGTGGCTACATGTGATGGCTTTCTTTATGCAGTTGGAGGCCATGATGCTCCTGCTTCTAACCATTGTTCCCGACTGCTGGACTATGTAGAAAGGTATCCAATTATGCATGCATTTTTTGAATACAAAATAATTTCAAGTAGCATCATTTTCATAGCTAAGTGATGGTAAAATTAAACAGATGTTTTTACCCCAATAAATTGCAAATTATTATTTACTTGAAAAATTCCATAGAGGTTTGTAATAGACAATTTCTTTGAAGGTTATTTTCTTTCCCTTTTTTTCACAGTACTATTATATATTTTCATGGACACAAAAATCAACTCTTTTCACACCTCATTTAATAAATCTTTGTTTTTAAGGCACGGTATTACACATTGCAGAGTCATAAACTCGTCTTAGCAGAGATAAAAATTCAGCCTTGAAATAATTTTATAACACCAAATTGTGCTTTGTATTTTGTAACTCTAAAAACATAGCTGAGCAAAGAAGAAATATAGAACTGCTTAAGTGATGGATATTTACAGTACATGATGTTGCTTCCTTTAGCAACACTGCCACTTTCTGACATGCTGATATAAGTGTTATACATTGCATTTACAGTACCCTGAATTTTGCAAGTGGATATTCTGCAAATTCAGGAATATCTAGTAAGGCAATAGGGCACACTTGGAGTGATTATAGCATTCATTTTGAAGATACTCTTCAAATGTTTCATGAAGGTTTGACTTTCTTCTATTTCTGTATGCTTTAAAATAGAATAAGGAAAATACACTCTCCAAATTCTTACAGGTTGCAAAGGTTAAAGTAAATATTTTTGAGTAGCTGGTTTGTCTTAACATACAAGTAAAGATAAGCACCGGGAGAGATTTATCTGTTTTTTGTTTTCTGAAGGGGTTAAACTTTAATTAGATATCAGTTATTGCTTCTGCTGAATCTGGCTTGGCATTTACCAGTTACCTAATAAGTAATCCAAAAATTATAAGTTAAAACTTACTCCTTATGTTATCCATATGATTTTGCTCAGTCTTAGACTCATTCTCGTCTCTACTGTATGTAAGCAAAGATCACAGACTGCCAAATACTTTACTTGTCATCTCTAACAGATGGAAAGTTCAACAGAGAAATCCCATGATGCCTGTACTTACAAGGCCTATCCTCATGGGCTTCTATTTATAAGGACAAATCAGAATTTTCAATGAAATAAATTTATATTAAGACTACTAGTGACAATATTAATAAGTATGAAATTTTTCCAACTACTTCTGCTTGTTGGTACTTGTAAGGGAGCTTTTATTTCAATTTTCAGTCTCTGAGAAGAAAGCCCTTCTGGTGTTGAAGACAAACCACATCCCATCACATTTGTCTTTCTCAGGGGGGATTATAACCATGAACTAAACCACATATCATTAAGCTATTTTATGTACTAGTATCTGAATGACATTATACAGTGTTCCTTGTCTAGGTATTTTTGCACTGAGAGCAAAAAATGTGAATAATGTACTTCATGGACAGTTAGCTTCCAGACCAAAACTTGGGACTAGCAAATCAGAACTTGTAAGGCTATTAGCTTGCATAGAGTGGATGTAAATTAACCAGTGAACTCCACTAAAACATGAAAAAACTCTCATGGCCCTGCCAGTGTTTGATAAGATTATAAGGTGGCTGGCATGTGTCTATTTTTACATTCAAAAATAATGCATCACCTTCAAAAAATAAAAGCATCTCAATAACTTAGGAAACCAAAGACTAGTAAGTGATAATGAGGTCTATTAGAGTAAGCTATTTATTTTATATGTCTCTGAAAGTTTTACTTTCTGTAAATATCTAGGGCATCTTTTTTAACTAAGTCTCTTTTCGTCTTCAGGAATGAGTCTCTTCTTCGGTCATTTTGTCATTCTGATACATCCCTGATAGGATGTGCTTTATTCAAATACCAGTTTGCTCCTGGAAGACTGTCAAATCAGACATAACATTTTAAAAATTATTTTTGAGATTAAAACTAGTGAGAGCAGACATGTTTTTTCAATGCTACTGCTAAGATCCTCCTCAGTAGTGATTAGGACTCCCAGATTGAACTATTCTAAGGTTGATGCAATTGTAAAGGATTTCCTACGGACTCAAGCATTCTACAATAAAATAATAGTTATGTTTGCACTTCACAAGTTGGGAAAGTACAATGTTGTGTTCCTTTTTAAAGGTAAAATAACTAGTTCTTTTTCAAAAATTATAAGATTTTGGAGATATTTTGGCAGATTTTATCAAGTAGATTTCTTCTTCAAATGTTACTCAAAACTTGACAGCTATTAAAAACATAAGCAAGTGATCTATAGTTTTTCCCCTTCATCTCACCCTGATTTCAAATTGATTTCTTTCCATGTTCAGGAACTTTTATTATAACCCTTCTCACCCTAGGGCATACCTAGTTATAAAGATGAAATGTACTGTTGTTCTTAGCAGAAGAAAGGATATAAGAAATCTCAGCCAGTTTCCTGGCAATTATAAAAAAACAAGTTCTTGTGCAGTTCTATTTTATTGACAGAATTGAGTTATAAGAATTCTGTTTAGCCTTGCATACCTGTTTATTAAAAAAAAAGTCCAAATCTGTCAATCGTATTTAGCTTCCCTGCTTGTCTACCTTCTCACCTTTGTCCTTGTAATTCAAACATTGTGTATCAAAGAGTCTGTTAAAATTTATTGCCTTTATGCAGGTGAAGATACAATGCAAACTGGTGCATTTCACTGGTTGGGAAACTCTTTCAGCTAGAGGCATATGATGCTGTTGTTGAAAAAGTCACACATTCTTTGAAAAAATCCATTCAAAATTAATTTTTTTTTCTTGTTACATGTGAATTTCCCTTCTACATATTCAAGTATGGTTCTAAACTATTTTCCTCTCAAGTTTTAAGACATTTATCATATATCTATTTAACTCAAAACTTCTCAAGGAAATATAGCAAAATGAAAGAATATGAATAAATAAAATAAAAAATTTAAAAAAATAAAGTAAAATGAACAACACATTTAATTCAATGGTATTTTAGACATAAAAAATTGAACATAAAATTTTAACAACTTATTTTCTGAGAAGTCCCCATAAAGCCAGAAGGATTAACAGCCAGTAGATGAGCAGAATTATTTCCCAAAATTTATTTAGCTGTTAAGAACAATTCAATAAGGTTAAAGACAATTCTGTTATTGTCCAATTCAAAGGTCATATTTATAAATCAAAGGCAGTTACAAACAAAGCACTGTAACGTTGTGGCAATATTTATATTTGAAAAGTTTTAAAATTTCCATGGTTCAAATGCAATGTGGGACTTCAAACAGTGTTCCTACTAATTGCTTTATTGAAAATATGGATGACTGAAATAGTTAACAGGTGCTTTTATAGTCAACCTTTGTAGTAAAACCTAGAATTTTCCTTTTTGTAAAGCAGATGTATATACAACTTTCTGTAGATTATCAACTTCTAGTTAATAAAGTTTAAACTACAAGAAAATATGTTGAAAGAACCTGAATTGCCACAAAAAAAAATGAACTTATAGCCAATACTGTCTCTTAAAGGTGTAGAAGTGGTTTGGTGTCTAATTTTATATTACAATATAGTAGCTAGAGGACTTGCAAATGAATAAGATGTTTAGCCATTATAGAGTTCTTTTGCAATTATTATAGAGAAATTATCATGCCCAAAGTGTGATCTACCTTACACTTAAGCAAATGACTAAAGTCAGTCAAAGGATTTGTATCCTTAAACTGTTTATTTTCTCCACTGATTATCAAGTGATTCTACTACATAGTAGAGATGCTTAAGGACAGATGAAATTAATTCTATCATACTGTGATACATTATTCTATTTTAGTAATATCTGTCATCTAAAAATTAGGTATCTACTTTAACCTAATGCTCCAGACATCCTTAGTGACAAATTGAGAGGCACTATCAAAAGGTGATTCATTTCTATTTTACAGATGTCTAAAATAGATGCAATGGAATGGCTTCTGAAATTAACTAATTTTTACATTGCTAATGAATATTTAAATTAATGACTTAAACTGAATGTTTAATTTTTGAACTACTCTCATTATACAAAAGGAATTTTGCCCTCAGTTTTAAAAATTCTATGGTGATTGTGTCTCAAAAACAGTACTACTATCTTCACTTGAGCAAATATCAGGAGGACAATCTAACTCTAATGCAGTTAAGCATATCCCTTGAATTCTTAGGGAGGATTTCTGGCTGTGAACATTGCATAGTATAACTTTATAACTTAAAATATAGCATCATATAATTTTAGAAATAATATTTTTAATCTGCCAGAAGAAATATCCTATTTAAAATATATACATAAAAATATACATACATACAGATACTGCTCTTATATCCTTCTCAAATCTCTTTTCATGACACCTTACCTCACAAATACCTTAGTTTATACCTAAAGGCTAGTTGAGAAAAAGTTCCTAATGAATGTTTAGAGGTTTGAATTGGGAATGCAATAGATCTGTTTTCTTTTTGCTGTTAGGAAGAATATTTTTTGATAGGATGTTAAAGGATTATTTTTTTCCACCAAAAAAAAAAAAATATAGTTAAGTGAAGATCAGCATGAATTGATACTTATCTTCTCCCTGGACATTCAATTTCCTTTCTCTTTCCTCAGATATGATCCAAAAACTGATACATGGACAATGGTGGCTCCACTGAGTATGCCTCGAGATGCTGTTGGTGTCTGTCTTCTTGGTGACAAATTATATGCAGTAGGTGGCTACGATGGTCAAACATACCTGAACACTATGGAAGCGTATGACCCTCAAACTAATGAATGGACACAGGTAATCATAAAGTCTTTATTTTATTTTGTCAGTAATGTATTTTGATAGCTGTACATAAAAACATTACTTTTCTGAAAAAAAGCATAGGATCTGAAGTTGTCATAGCTGTAAAGGTAGTCCTAGTATTTTATTAAGTTTTATGTCAGGAGTTTCTTCTGAAGATAGAAAAGAGAGGATTAGATCCAACATAAATTTCTATAGCAAATTCATTTTTTTCCATCTTTCTTCATGCAGAATAAATGTCATAAAAAGTATCAAAATGGATCTGGAATTTTAATTGGTAACCAGCATATCCTGAAGATCATATGAAAATTTGTTTATTTTATGTAGAGTGAAGTTTTCATTTCATTCTTCAATTCCATTTTCTTCTGTTTGATGAATATTTTGAAATGTCAAACTGTATGTATGTTCCTAACGTTGAACCATATAAGAATTAATAGATATAATAGAAATAAAAGTATAATACAAGAAGCTGGGGACTAGTGATTTGGTTGTAGAAATAATGTATTTTCTTATGTCATAGTAGTGCTTGGAAAGATTTAGATTCATAACAAACACTTAAAAAAAAAAAAAAGGATTGCTTCAACACTTTCTGTTATTAATTCTGTTTTAAGATTTTCTGAAAAAGTAATTTGTTCCACCAGTGTAGATGTCTACACCTGAATTAGTCACCGTAAGTTCCCTTTAAAGTTAGTGAAGAAAAGTACATACTTTGAAAGCATGATCTTATCCTAAAATAAGTATTTCAAATAGGCCAGATGTATTATACTAAAAAATACCTATTTCTTTTTATGATTGTAAAGGGGGACTTCTGTTGTCAAGCTTAAATGTAGACATACATTGTGTAAAGTTAATGCAGAAGCCCATCTTTTTTATCTACTATTAATTAAATGACAAGAGCATTTTTACGACATTCTGTAGGAAACAAGAAATCAATTTGGAGAGATTCTTTTCCCAAATCTACCAATCCACATTAAAAAAAAAAAAAAAAAAAGAAAAAAGAAAAAAATATTATTAACCACATTTGGACAGATAGTTAGGAAACATGTAACACCTCTGCTTTGATACACACACTACCATTAATTATGGTGTGTTATCATTACTGTTATTGTTTCATGCCATATAAGCTGACTCTACTGTGTTAGTTTCAGCAAGATCCAGTCTCTAAAGTTATTAATCCTTGTGTTGTCTTGAATAGTGACTAAAGGCATCAAAATTATGCTAATGGACATTTGAACCTGTTTAGGAATATTGGAACCATACAATTTTGGTATTGGTAGCCTTGACCTTGCCTCAGGGACCAAAGTGGAAGCATCAGATTATAGAAACCCCTTGCATATCAACGGTTCACAAAATTGATGACAGCTCTAAAATAATTTCCTTTTTTTTTTTTCTGATCTCACACTTTCAAATCAAAGATATCAGATGTGAGTAAATAACTTTAAAACTACAATATTGTGGTTTGTATTTATTTTTAGCAGTTTATACTCCCATTAGTTTTGACCATTTTAGAATAATGTAGACACGGCAGTTTGGCAATCTCTTGCATAGCTTGCTCCTGTTCAGTTAATTTGTATCTTTTTTTTCTGCAGATGGCTTCCCTAAATATTGGAAGAGCTGGTGCCTGTGTTGTAGTCATCAAACAACCATGACTTTGTCAGCACTGCTTAGGATTTTACTGACTGTGAAATGATTATTTTTCTATCAGATAATGAGAATGATAAGTTCATGAGAAGAAGGATTTACACAGTGAATACTTTGTTGATCACAAACTTGAAGAAGTTTGGAAATGAGAAACATTAAGTATTTATGCCCTATAAAATCATAAAAACTGTTCACAGTCAATGAACAAGAAAAAAAATCAGTCTGTTATAGGCATAAATATGTGAACGTGGAGTAGTAAGTTCAGATACTGTTCTCATGAATGTGTCTTGGAGAACTGGATAATCAAGGGACAGTTCTATACAAGGAGCAGGAAGAAGTACAAGAACAGTTTTCATGGCCGCAAGAGTTTTAACTGCAGAAACATCAAAGTACATTTAATCACTTCTAAACTGTGGTTTTTGAAAGAGAAAAGTAGATAGTAATATAAAATTTTTCTGTTCAGGTCTTGTCTTCAAATGGGTTATGACCTTCTCATTTAAACAGGCAGTTTGGTTCTTACTGAAGGGAAGAGGTAGAAAAGTCTGGATATTCAAGTTTCATTCATAATGACTGAGCTGTTGCTATACAGTAGGAAGAAAAACAAAACTAAAAGTAAACCTCCAAGATGACGTTTTTTTCTAACTTCAGATTGTACTTCCTTGCTAGTGTTAATGCATCTTGTAAGTGAGACCATTGAAGGGGAAGCCTGTATGTTTAATCTAATGATACACAAAGCAATCCTTTGGCTGCACTGGGGCTTTGTTGCAAATGTGGGAGTCAAAGGAACAATTTCCTAATTCTTTCTTAATCGTATACTCAATTTAAGCATGTGGGCTCTGATATAGTTTTTTAATGCATCTTCTGCATGTTGGAAGCTCATGAAAAGCTGGAAAATTGATACTGTTCCTTCACCGCATCATGTAACAGATGAACCATGACCAGAACAGTCTATAGGGCCTCTTCTAACATTTCAAGAGGGATGAAAATACTATATTTTATTTCTTTCTGATGCTCGTACATATGAAACTTTGCCTGATTAGAGCTGCCAGTTTATTGCTTTCCACTTATGACTGAGAATAACTGAAGTAGGGAATTCAGAATAAATGCAAGTGGAATAAGGAAAATTAGACCATTTGATCTAATAAAGTTCATATGGTAAATATACTAGTGTCATCTGTGCTTCCCTTTAGGGTTGATCATTTCTGGCAGTAGTGATACTTTGAGCTTTTGCCTTGGCAGTAGAATTAACGTTGATGCTTTCTATCTGCTCAGCTGAATCAGTTAGAATCTTAAGGCCACTAATGGAATATGAAATTCTGCTATTCAGGGACGCACAGGCTCTGGAACAGGACTATCAAATATACCTCTTCTTTAAAGCCTTGCTGATCCTTTAGGAAACATTTCATCGTCCAAAAGCAGAAACCTCACATTCCTCTGTCAGTAGCAATTTTGGGGAGGATTCTGGTTTAGTTAGAAGAGTTTTCCTAGTGGAAACCTTTGAAACCATTTGAGAAGAAAAAATACATACAGCCTCCTACTTGGGACATTTGATTTGAAGATGTGTCTTTCCTTCTAACAGCATCAGCATGCATGGCAATTTTTTTTTTCTGACACAAACTAAACTTCAATTCTGAAGCCTAAGTATACTGGTTTAAATCTTTTTATATGCTTCTCTTTCCTAATTAGAAATCAGCTGCAAAGTCTTCAATATTAGTTTTCCACAGTAAAAACTTTTGAATTGCAATTAATTCTTCTTCCATGGACAACCATGTCCATTTTTCCCCAACTATAACAACTTGTTGAATAAAAGATGTTACCCTCTACAAATTTTGCTTCACATAAGCAAAGGCTTCTGAGACCAAATCAAGAAGATTCAGAATTATAATTGCAATTAAATATAGACATTAGCATTCAGTTTTCCTACACAGATACCTAATGAACTTAGAAATTGAACTTTAATTCTATTCCCAGAACTTCCTTTTGATTACATTATATTCATATACAATAGAAATATGATTACCTATATACTGACCTTCGAAAAATGATTACTTCTATTAATTGCAATCCATGGCATATTTGTTCTCTGTGCCTTGATCACTTTTATCCTCAATTTATCCTCAATTTTATATTTTATTCTCAATTTCCTTTTACATATTTTCGATTTGTCTTTATTTATCCAAAAGGAAACATTATTCATACGTGAAATTTTTCATACTACTATGCTACTCTTATGCTGAAAGAATAAAATTATTAATTTCTTTTATTTAGATTATGTAAAAATCTAGCCACAATAAGAGCTATATTTGGCTTTTAGATTCTTTCTATACACCTACATCTGGAGTTTCTTCTATACAGAATTTAGGGAGAATTTTTTTTATTAAATTTTAAGGTTTTTTATCTGTTCTGTTTGCTCTAATTAAAAACAATAGTTTTACCTTTGACTTCAAAGGGAATGGATTTAAATCAAAATGCTGTAGAATCTTAATCTTGGTTTCTATGATCCATTAAAATCCCTTTTTTATGTAAAAGAGTTAAAATCACTTCTAATAGGCTGAGTTGTGCTAAATAATATTACATTTACAGGAAAAGCAGCAGTCTTTTCAAAAGCCAGATTATCTCATCATTGTTAATCTAGCATAGTAGCTTTTCTCTCAAATAATCCCTTTGATTTCACAGTGTGAAAATCACAGTGGAATCAGATCTGCAACAAATATCAATGAAATCACTAACTGAATTCCTCAAAATGCTGCTTGTAAATTTTGTAGATAAATATTCTAAGTATGTTCTAAAATGCCAGCATTTTCTCTATCTTTCCAATTCTTTTTCTTCGTTGTCACGTTTGAGGGGAGAGGGTGGGAAGAGGGGACGGGTTTGGGTTGTTTTTTTTCCTCAGAATGTCAACCAGTTTTACTAGAAAGTCTTTGTTTCACATTGGCCTGTATTTATACATGGGAGTCATACCTATTTTTTCCTATATTATATTAACATCTTTTGTATTAATCAAAATAAGTATTTAAATTAAGGTCCTCTGGGGTAATTAAAACTAAGGTCCTCTGGAACTACTGAGGAGCCTTGCATTTCTCTGTTCTATGTTTCAAAAAGCCTTTATCTTTTGTTTTTATTGTTTATTAGAGACTTTATTAATTTCTTTCTCACTGCTACTGCTTTTGAGATAGGAAGAAGGTCAAGGACATGAGTGCTAGAAAAGCTGTTTTTAAAAGAAAACAATACTGGCTGAAAGTGGTCATTCTTGTGCCTGAGAGTTTATATTCAAAAGCTTGGATGGACACAAAGAAATACTCTTTCTTCAGTTTCCCTACCCAACTCTTTTCAAACCCATTGAGACGTTACGGATCAGTGACAGCCAATTGTGATGCAATATGTTCTTTTCTCTTTTTCCTTTGATTGATTATTTCTCTAGTGAGTGTAAAATATTTGCTGCTGGGAAAGAAAAAAAAAAAAACCAACAAAAAACAAACCCCCCCAACCCACAAAAAAACAAAAACCAGAGGAAGCACAAAAGACAATAGTCATCTTTGAAGTGCTTATAGAAGCAATACCTAAAAGACAAAATAAGTGGATTCCCCTGAACAGGGAATAAAGTCATCGGTGTTATATCTGTGACAGTGCTGTTAATGTTTATTAATACAATTATTAATGAATTCATAGCAGAAATTACAATTTTGAAAGTTTTTCATTGGTTAAGTAAACCAAATCAAGAAAAATACCATAACATTATGTCTGATTTTGAAATGAATTAGTCTTCCTGATTTAATTTATTTATGCTAGATACTTAAACTCCAAGAATATAATTTTCTAGATGATGTTAGAGGCTTTATAAATACAGAATAATTCAAGTTGAACTCAATAGAAAACTTATCAAGCAAAATAGGTAAATCTTTTCGTATGACTCTGAGGGTGCCATTTTTACTTTGTTTCTGCCAATATAGTAGTGTTAAAAAAATCCATTTTGCAAAAGAAAGACTAATCTCGTGACCCTCTATTGTTTATGGAACTTTTATGAAACCTTGCAGTTTTGCACCTTTCCTTCAAGCTATTTTTTTCATTTGCAGTTTTTATTATCAACAGTGATGGATGTTAGAAATATAATCAGTATTAGTAAAGATCTACATAGAAAAATTTCATTTAATAGTCATAATTTAATAAAGCTCTTTATTATTGACATTTTTGTGGTCCAATATTATTGAAAATCTGTGCCTTGAAATCAAAGCCACAAATAAGTCAATAAAAAGATCTGAAGGTAAGAATATTGTTACTTTGGCTTTAATTATAGCTGTTCAATACATATTTGTATATAAGTTCTTGCAATCTAAATACTAATATTGTTTAAAAGCAAAATAAACTTTCAAACTTCCTTTTGCATATAGAACACACTTTAACATATGAAATTGGTCCAGTTATTAAGGCAATTTAAAGATGCTTTCAAGGAGTTGCCTGTCTCATAATGTTACTCTGTTAAGCTAACAGTAATTGACATAAGGGAACCATTTTGGAGTAGACAAAGGATGATTTGCCTGACTATCACTCTCTTCTACAGAAAACTGCCATCAACTGACCATTTAAAAAATACTCATATTAAAATGTATCTAGAAAACTCTATATATTATTCAAATTGTTTTATATGTTTAGAAGGCCCAAATAAATTCCCTTGAATGTATTTCTCAATGACTTAAACATTTTTCAATTACTTTAATAAAAATAACTCACAAATGAGTTTAAAGTTATGCAAGTTTTAATGGCTCAGACCTTGATGTCCATGAGCAAAGACCAGAAACACTGCGCATTGTGATTATGAATGAACTACAGGTTTTCCACAGCAGAATTCACACTCTAGAAGTCCTTCCTTATTACTGTGCTCACAATGGACTGGACATAACACAATATATCCTGTTGTCTATGACTTTGCATTAGTAATATCATTAAGAATAAATAAAGAAGGCATTTCTGCAAAGGCTTAAAAAACTGTTATCAAATAACTGTTATCAAATAGTAGTAATAAATTACATGAATAATTCTGTAATATTGTGGGAAACAGACATTTGGCTATGTACATGTATGGAGTTTGATGGTATGAAATCAATTATAAAACTGTTTACCTAATGTCAAATTCACAGCCTGGAAGAGGACATGGTGCACTCTTTTGCCATTAGCACCTCCCACACATACACCTGTGTTTAGTTTTATATCCTCATAATCCCACTGCATATTGGCTCTTTGTACAATGCTGCTTTCTCACTTCTCTCCCATCCCCACTCCCAGTTTCTGTTTATATTGCAGAGGCTTTCTACCATTAGGCACATTTTC